AGAACTTGCCAAACAGAATAGGTTTTGTATATCCTAACCCCTATTCTGGATAGAATTAATGGACCAAGTCTGAAAGCCAAAAGCCTCAGATTTGTTTGGGTTAATCAGTGCCAGAATTTGTTGGCTAAGGAATGACACAGATGATCTTTCACAGTTGAAAGATACGTCAATGTTGCAAGTGTTTTGGAAGGTAATAGCATACATGTCTTAAACGCCACCAAATAACACATTGGCTTTCACAATAAGACACTGCTGGACAGGATAGGATTGAGTATCATATTCCAACGCATGTGAAAGTTGGCAAATACCTTTGGAGCAGTTGATCAAAGCAAAAGGAACAAGTGCAGTGAAGTGTGCACAGGAGGAGTAGGAGTACAAACTCATACAAATATTCTGGCACACAAAATGCATTTCTCATATGATGTTTCTGCAGAAAGTGAGGTGGCAGAGTTTTAGTCAATCATCAGGTTTGTCTGGATTGGTGGATGTACTACAGTATAAACTAAAGCTGGGAGGAGGGAGTAAAACACCACATTTCCCCCCTCCCTGCCCCGAGAAAAACTGACAAAAAGTACCAGGAAAGAGCTCCACAAATATTCGAGCCCAATATATGCAAACAGTCATTAGAAAGGCTCAACTATCAACAGTACTTTGCCACACTGCTGTTAATGCATTACTTGCACTTGTCTTGCACCTGCCCACAGCAGTTAGCTTGGAAAATAGAGATTTTGTTCAGTGCCTAAAGAAAGGCTACTTTCTAATCCCTAACTGCCAACAACCAATAGGGTCTCTGCGCAATCTTGCTAAAAACATTTGTATCAATACAAAATTATCCTACGTGAATATGATGCTTATCAGTATTTTTTTATAGGTAAAAACATCATTCACAGCATGTTTGCAAGTAGGGTTCAAATTAGGCTGTGTGCAAGAGGTTTGAGCCAGTGTTTGAACAAGCTAGTTGGTAATAAATATAAGCTTTATTTTATATAATAAAAGTGTATTACATAAAGACATTGCATTATTGCAGACTGCCTGACAGAAATGATACAACCTTGTATCAGGCAAAGGGTATGAATCTGAAAGCATTCATTCTTATCATATATATTTGGAGCTACAGTAAGAGACCTAAGTTTATCATCAGGCTAATTAGAAAAGCAAATAGATAGCAGAAAACCTTGCCAACCTGCATTACTCTGAATGTATTACATACAGCTCTTGTGAGGTGGTATTCATACTTAATTCAAAAAGACTGCTTATTGATCTGAAATTAATTCAGTTTTGTGGTGAACAGGTATAGTGTAACAAAACCCTATAAAAGTCTTTATCTTCTCATCCACTACATTTTATACAGGCAACACAGTGGACCACTATTTAAATTAACACAAAATGGTTAAATTTTTTTCAGTTACAAGTCTAAACGTGTTTAGTAGCACACAGTGTCAGAGGTTGGGTTGTTTGTTTGGGTTTGTTTTTTATTTTTCTTCATTAATAATAAGAGCCATCATTATTAAGGATGTCTTTACTGCATAAGCTAATGTAACCTCTAGGTGAGACCCTTTCACTAGCTCCACTGGAAAAACATGTATTTTCAGAGAGCTGGAGCACCTTTCCTACAAAGACAGGCTGAGACAGTTGGGTTTATTCAGTGTGGAGAGGACTCCAGACCTCAGAGCAGTCTTCCAGTACCTAAAGGGGCCTTACATGAAATCTGGAGAGGAACTTTTTACAAGGGCATGTAGATAGGACAAGGGGGGATGGCTTTAAATTGAAAGAGGGTAGATTCAGATTAGATATTAGGAAGAAGTTCTTTATAGCGAGGGTGAGGAGGCACTGGAACAGGCTGTTCAAAGAAGCTGTGGCAGCCCACCCAGTAGGCTGTCTGACCTCTTGAAGGGTTGGCGGAGCCCTTGGGATATGTCAAAGCCATGTGTATAGTGTAAAGGACTGTTTCCGAAGGGGCAAAGAGGTTTCTCCAGGGCAGCACAGCCTGTGGCAAGCAACCCTCCTCCTTTTTGCCTATCCAGCACTGGTGGCAAGTCACAGGAACCCACTGCATCACCCAGCCGTTGCTCTCTGCCACTGGGTGCACCCTTGAGTGCCCAAGACTAGGTCAAAGCCCCTCTCCTGGCACACTCATCGATACTAAGCTATGTTGAGGACCACACAGTTGGCAATGCATTTGGCTGAAGCAATGCAATAGTCCGTCTATTCTTCCCAAGCCTTACTTTGGGCAGAGCAATCCTCTACCTGATACAGCAGCAGTTATCTTGCCAAAAGGGTAATAAAATCAGACACCATCTTTAAAGAATTAAAGTGCTTAAAGATTGCAGCTAGAAGGGAAACACTTGGGATCATTTTGAATTCCAGCAAAGTATCACCTCTGCTCTCTAGAACTGGGCATGCCAGCCAACACCACTGCACGTGGGAAGATGAAAGCACTTTCAGGCAGCAGTTCAGCGCTATGAACTACCAAAGTGACCCTCAATTTCCATCCTTCTAGAAAACTGTCTTGGATTTACAACTACAGTGTGCAGGCCTGGTTACATACGCAGGCTGACAGAGGGCAAGAGAGTTCTTGCATTCAAATTGGGTACCTCATTATATGTTTTTCCTACATCTTTTCCTGTCTTGTCTGAAAGAATACGGACTTTAATGTGGTTTGAAAGAGTTAACATTTGCTTTTAACAAAAGATAGGAGGGAAAAACCCAGACTGTAAACCAGAAAGCAACTCTAAGCACTTCAGAATGATCACAAAGGTTTTACCATAACCTGTTAGGTATTCCCCCCAATAAAGGAAGGGCAGAAGGAAAAAGACAATGGATTTTCATTTTTTTTGGATCTTTTTTATTCAAAAGTTTTCAAAGAAATAAAACAGAAAAAAGCTAACAATCTAATCAAATTTACAGTTCAAAAATGTCTTTTGGCGTTTAACAACAAGTCCTAGGAAACAAAACTACAGAGTTATCTTGAACCGGACAAATAAGTTACCACTGGCAAGTTTGTGGCACTAGTAAAACAAAAATAAAAAATTAACTCTCTTGATCATATAGATATCTCTATGAAAATCTTTTTTTTTTTCAATCTGTACAAAAGGTCTTTCTTCATAAATTAATTTTTTATAATTTAATGGCTGTCTACTATGTGATGTTTAAGTAACTGATTATTTCTTTATGTACAGAGGTTAAATTTCCCAAATCTTACCCAGACAATGAGTATGGCACTTAGTTCAGACATTTCTGGCAGCAGCTCTTCCCTCCCTCTAACACAGCTATCATACTGCAGTTTTAATTAACGCAAAAATATCAAGTAGTGAGAGATCCAGGTTTGGAAAATTACCAGATACAGGCAAGGTGCTGCAGGAAGTCTGGACTTTTACAAAGCAGTAATATTCCAGGGAGCATAGAACCAATAATACCACAACTTCTTAAAAAAAGAAAAAACAAAAACACATCTCTTATGACTATGTATTTCACTAGATTCTACACTTCTCAGAGCAGCAATTTACTTTTGAAACTATGAAATGTCACCGACATCTATACTCCAATACTCACACAAAATTTAAAAACTAAAAAATACTTGAAAGAAACAACTGCTTAGCCCTAGCTCCCGAGCTAGGATGATTTGGTCTGTGGAAACAGGGAGGGCCAGCAACCTGTCCCAGTACAAAAGGAAATAAACTTTGAGGTAGATAACTGATCATATACAGCTGACCAGAGAAGTACACAGTTTTGGAAGACAACTTAATTTATCATTCGATTTAAAACATATGCAATTGTAATAAAGAGCTTTAGTAGCAGTGAATTATCTAATATGTGAAGTACAAATAACTGTGTATTTATGAATCAGGAATTTCATAGTTTCAAAATTGGTTTTCTTTACACTTAACACTTGTAGTGATGATGTAAAGTGTGGCACTGCTTGGATCCAAGTCTTCCTTCATGCTTTTGTGTCCATACGTCAATTAAAATTATAAAACCTAAATGCAAATGTACAAAAAAGGCACATTCTCCTAACCGCAAACTGGTCCGGCAAAAATAAAGAGTACAGAAGACGTAATGCTGAGACAAATCAGAATTATTGGTTACTGGCTCTTTGTTCTTTGGTAAAGTTACCTTTTAAAAGTGCCAAGTCTTTTTATTTTTATTTACCTACTATAGAGAGCTAGTACCCAATCAATTATGTTTCTACTTACATCTCAGCGTATGTTTGAAAACAAGTCCTTTAGCTTTTGCCATTTTGCTGTAATAGCAACTTTTCTGTTTGCTAAGTCTCAGCACAATCATCATCCTAAAGCACTATCATTAGTATAAAGGAAGGACAAAAACATTCGGTGATATCTCCACCCCAAACTCCCTACTCTACCTATGCTAAAACTAGAACATCAAGTTAGTTTCTGAAAAAAGGCAAAAAAAGATTTTACATTGCATCATACAGCAGAGTTCCTAAATCATTCAAACTACCAGAGGGAACTATTGGCATATGGCCTTACAAACAATTTATCCTATTAAAATTTCCCCAGTCAGAAAATGTGTTTCACACAAAACATTTTTTCCCCTCTTGCATTTCACTACCTTACATATTATGTGAAAAATCATTAAAAACACTTACTACACATTAAAAAAGCCAAATTTTCAGCAATTTTTATTGACTACCTTTAAAAGCCCTATGCTGCTGTTTTACAAGGCATAATAGACCAGCTCATTTGGTCAAAGCATTCTACACCATTAGTTTGGACTACTTACTGAAACAGCTACAGCATTGAAAGATTTAAGGCAAATTGGAATTTATAGAAAAGGATAAGACACTTCACACTACATTAAAAGAAAAACAGAAAGCTAAAAGACCAGACACTATAATTGCAACACTGCACTAAAGCAACACTCACACACTGCAAGCACAGAACATCATCTTAGATGTTTTACTATTTTAAACTTCAGAAAACCCATTTCATACAATTACAAAAAAAAAAAAAAAAAAAATAGAAAAATAAAAGGGAAAGAAGAAAAGAAACAAACAAAATAAAAAGAAACCAAAACACAAATTCTGTCATGCACATGAATAAGTCTTCGTGGTCATCTGTGCATACCCAGAAATCTAATTTTTTTTTTTGCGTCATAACACTTGATAAAAATTTTTTTTTTTTACTAAAATAAACCTGTTCATGGGAACAGCTACTAGATGAATTTAAGGTTTTTCTTATGCACCTTATAGAACTTATAGCAAAAATAGTTTTAGTTGATTTCATTATAAATAACATTTTCAAGAACCTGTGCAAAACTGTCAATAATTCCTAAAGCACAATTGATCAGTAAAATCCATGATTGTTTCAGCCTTTGCACCCTTCTCCAGGCCAGGTGAACACTGGACATCTGTAACACAGAAAGGTCAGAGCTAGAGCAGAGTTACAATTGCACCCTTTTTTTTCTAATGTAGCTGTTGACAAAGCTAAATAATTTCCTATTTTAGACAGCTGTGCGAAGACTAAGTGAATCCAAGTATAAATTTGAGAAGTAACACAGATGGCAACACAGGTGCTTGGCCCTTCCCAGGATAAGGGATATCTCTGCCAGGATACAGCCTCTATTGTATTTCCCCCCCTCTTATCTCCAATACCTGTTCAGCATGCGGAGTTCCCACTGGGGAACCCTTAGGCTGCATTCAAAGCTATTCCCTTCTTTGTTGTTTTGTTATTGTTGTTTCCTTTTAATTGACCAAAAGTGCTTGAGTGCGTGAGCTTAATCCTGTTGCATCTCCAAGGCTTTTGATGTCTGGAAAAAGAACACAACCTTCTTCTGGCGCAGCCTTGGGGAGGCTATGTACAACAACTAATGCAGAGACAGCTACTGTGCTTCCACCATGGCTAATACTTAACAGCAACTCAGGGCTTATTAAACTTGAAGGAAGACTTCTCAATTTACTGTATTGGCTTATATTGCCACATGGGTTTAACAAAAATACACAGCTAATGAAAAAAGTTTAGTCGATTTTTGAATTTCTCAATGCAAAACAAAGCCTGGTATTTTAACGCTTGTAGATTTATAGATGTATATATAATTACAACATGGTTTTCTTCTCTAGTCCCTTTGACTATTTTCAAATGACAACTTTCTGAAAAGAAGCTATAGAGTGATTAAATGTAGTTGCCAAAAGAAAGACACTATGTATTTCTGATTGACTGTATCCACTTGTGCAAATATGTGAGTTGTCATTTACCCCTTATTTATGGCAATACGTATACTGACTTTTAATAGGACATTCCCAAAATTCCTGCATGTACATTTAGACAGAAGTTTCAGTTTGACAACAGTAACAAAGCCACAACAATTAAGAGACTGCAGTGTCCCGTGTATTTAGGGCAAGAAATAACTGTTAATTCCATTCCATTCCCTTCACCTGTCCAAAAAACAACAAGTACCAACATGTTCCAGGGACAGAAATACCAAATGCCATACTCTGAGGCTGAAATCAGCTGAGTAATATTAACCTACCCCACGTGCCCACTGCCATAGCCACTGCTGACATTGATTCCTCTGGCTTTCACTGCATATAAATACAGGTAAAAGTACTTCTTTTAAGAATAAAATATGTGGAGGACTGGCTTACAGCAAAAGCACAGGGTTGCTCACAGAGCTCGATATTCTACACAGTAGTAACAATAAAATGTGTCTCAGATGGCAACACAACTCTTTCTTTCAGGAGACTCTTGCCTGGTCCCAGTCTATGGGAAAGACACTGACAGGCTGGGAGAGAGAGTCAAGAAGGAAGGGGAGATGACATGCAGGATTACACTTCATCATCTACCACAGATCTCTATTGGTAAGGAGGTTTTACATGCCCACAGGGAAGGCTTAAGGCAAAACAATTCCTTGAAAAGCAGCTAACACCAGCCAACAGTCTTGGCATGGGAAATGTGGAGGAGCCATGATTTTAACACTAGGCGATGGATAACAAGAAGAGTCTGTGGCTTTGCTTTCTCCCTGCCCTGGAAGCAAATCAAGGATATGGGCTTTCTCTAGATACCAGCATTTGGCCAGACTACAATAATAAACACAGGTCATGTGTTGCACTATGCAGACTGTGCCTTCTGTTGTATGTGCGAAGTTTTCCCATTGGTTTGTTTCTATCTTTACATTCTTGAACATGTAAGAAGTTGCTCTGCCAAAAACAGGGATGAGAGCAGTGTTGTCAAATAGCACATCTGACCTGCAAAATCCAAGGTAATGCCAAAATGTGTGTACTGTTAGATCTATATATTTTAGGAAGAATATCACACAATTGGGAATTCTTCACACATAACTGATTATCATTTTTTAGTATCTAATAAATGCTGTGAAAGCTGTAGAAAACCCCTTTTTAACAGCCTCTAGCACATTATTGCAGCTGAACAGAATTTCTATGAGGTCTTAGAAATTTGATTAGAACGATTGCATACTCAAGTTGCCTGGTTTACGAAGCAACTGGAAAAAGACGAGTTAAGAAAGAATTAAATTCCAGAATTTTAAAACATGGAGGATGGAGAAGGGAATGGTTAGTGCAAACAATACTTGCACGTTGGCAATCTACAGAAAGCAAAAATTTTGCATGGAAGGGGTTTGCGTGAAGTTAATGATTGGTTAGTAAAGGCCATGCAAGCAAATCCAGAGGAAACCTGGAGCAGTAAAGTAAAACTCTGGAATTAGAGCCAATCAAGGATGCGGATTGAAACATAACTGACAAAATTTTGGATCAAACTGCTTTTTCCTAGAGTAAAGGATGAGCAGGAAAGCCTGCAGGAGAAAAGGTCAAGCAAGGATTTCTACCAGACCAACTCTCTGCCTGTGGTCTTTAAGTCAGTTGCAAAGCTGCTTCCAACTCTTACATGTACCACAGAACTAGAGAATATTTTACGTATAAATACAGTTCCCTTTAGCATTGTGATTCTCATAGTTTTGCACTAATTCACTGTTATTCTTGCATACAGCACGCTGCCAAGATGAACAAATTAAAATCCAACGTAATCCAGTTATGCTATAGAGAAATTACTAAAACCTTATTACTCATAATTCATTAACTAACTTCTGGAACCTCTGCTTTCCTTCCTGGCTTCTAACTCTGGCCCAGTTCAAATTAACCTCACTGCCTGTCCCCAGATTTATCAATGTTATTTATATGACATTAAAAAAAGAATTAAAAAAATCAATACAGAGCACTGTAAGTTATGAAATAAAATATCTTTGAATTCACGTCTTTCAAGTGACAGGATGAGCCCCTACCTCACAGTTACTTATTTTGCTGATACGTATATGGAGAATGGTCACTGGACGTCTCTACTGTAACCTGTTGCTGACCACTGGCTTCCTGCAAATAAAAAGGAAGACAAGACATGAGACAAAAATCAGGCAGCATTAACTGTATTTTGATACGACTCATGCAATTAACAGTCTCCAAATCTAAAGTTTTTCTAACTTTTCTCAAGTGGTTGTGTTTCTCAAGTGGTTTCCCAATTTGAGGTGTTAATAGCAAATACCTGCTAGTATATTTTCTATCTGAAAATGCTAAAGATCATTCTGCCCCTCTCCTTTTAAGGGTCAGTGAGAGGAATGAATTCTACTTACCACATGTACAAACACTATTGCTTTGAGTACTGTGGTGTGATTGGCACTAGGCAACACAAACAATTGTAGCTGAGTCTTTGCACACAGACCCCCAAGAAACCAGGGAATTAATTCAGCTGATAGTGCTCTGGCAGACAGTGCTACCAGCTAATTACCAAAAGCCCTTCTCCAACCCATATGGGTAGATGTACAAACCGAACCAAACAGTATCTGGAGTTTCTGGACAAACAGACTTTGAAATAAAATGGTCTTCCTTACAGGCTTTGGAAGAGACTGTCTAGCACTCATTTTGAATACAAGAGCTGCAGTATACCTTGCCTAGCTCCTCTGTTAAGTACTGACCTATGAAAGGGTGTAAGGTATAGTAGACAAACTATTGTCTACCATTCAGTTATGCTTTTCAACTGGACTTGCAGAGGAGTTTCTTAAGCAAATATCCTAATAAACAAGTATCCTCAGGTACCAGGATAAATATTGGGATTTGCAAAAAGTTACAATCATGGTCCGTTAGCAGAGAAATTTGCTCACAGGAAAACTAAATGGAAGAACAAAACGACAACATACGCTGACCTTTTCCTACAGGAAGTTAGGATTCAAAACCGATAAAGTTCATCTGAGTTATGCTCATACTGAGTATTAATTCAAGTACAGGTAATTCTTTGTTATGCTACTATTTATATTAGTAAAGAATAATGACATTTTATAATTTTAATACACATTGTATTCACAGTGCACTCACAGTTACAATGTTAGACTTTAAACACTAGTTTTCCTAGGAACAAAACAAAACAAAACCCCCCAAACCTAGTATCATACTCATCTCCGGTCTTTTATAAAATATACTGACCTCAACAGGAACTGCTGCTGTCTGGACATGTGTATATTGGGGGATGTAGGCTCCTTGCATAGCGGTTGTGGCTGGCATGTACTAAAAAGACAAGGAATCTATTAAGTTGAGTTCAAGCCCAACGTAAATTTAAAAGTACTCAAAATACCTATCATGATACTGTTTAACAGATATTAACTGTTTCCCTAAAGCAATATACATGAGAAAAAGACTCTTGCATCTGACATCAACAGGCTTTTCAGAAAAGTGAGATACCTGTTTTGAGAAAACTCAAATTTAGACTTCAAATACTGCATAAAGGACTCTCCTTTCTCTGTTAATCCAAATAATTTCTCCTGAAGAGTAAAATGACTATTTTTTCTTTTCCAATACACCTTTGGAGTTGCCTCCTAAGTTCCTTTCATTTGCTTTGATCTATTTCTTCATTTCCAATTTCTGATCAGTTAATAGACTGACAAAAAAGAGCTGAATACAATTTAAAAATGGAAGCAGTTATTAGTATTTTATTGGATGAAAGACTAAAGGATTACTTTTCCCTATATGCAGGCTGAATATGCATACTGTGATCTACATGCAGTATTTTCTACTTGTGAAAGTTCTAGTTTGCATTCAATTGCTACATACTGTTCCAGTACTGCCTAATGAAAGATGACTCATCTGCTGTGTCAGAGGGCTTATCATCGATGCAGGCTGTAGTGACATGGTGTGGTCCATGGAGGGAGTCAGTACAGCACCCTATTAAAAAAAACAGCGAAAGAAAGAGAGAAATGGTTGTGGCAACACTCAGATTTTAATTACATTTTGCATTTGAAAGTCTAAGTCCTTCTGAGCTGATATACCCCCAGAACTCTCCTTAGACCGAGACACAAACTCAGGGAGCAGGTCTGGGGCATTCAGAGTATTCTACTCCAGCAGATGTGTTTTGTACAGTTTGGGAATGGGTTAAGAACTACACTGACTTCCTATTGAGCGCACAACTGAAGTACAGCGCACTTGAGACACCTGCTAAAAACACTTCGTAAAATACTAGTTTAACCAGATGCTAACTTTACAGCTAAAATCTACACGTTGCCAGACATAGATTCATTATGCTTAAGCTCTGCAAATTCAGGCTTTAGGAAGAAACTTTTATCTCATCTTTAGGAATGGAGGCTTTGGAGGAACATTTGTATTAGGTGAATTCTACCTGTCATACGTGAAGTTAACACACAAGACAGCTGCCCACCTACTGGCTGGACGATCTCTATCACTCCTGTACCATTTTGTTAACTTCATAAAAAGTGTATGTGAAATTTTTAAACACTCGAGATTGCTAAATATGGAGGGCACACTTGTCAGGTTTTCAGAGTTATCTGAAATGGAGGATTATCAACTAATTTCATTTTAAGAAGCACGCTCTACAAAAAGATATTTTCAAATTCTTTTGTAAGTACATTTGTATGACTTACATTTGCAGAAGTGTTGATTAAAATTGATGGAGGCTCAAAACTAACAGAAACAATTGCAGTATACTGAAAGCCAGCATTCTGATCCAACAACTAATCCTTGAAAATAAAAATTAAAAAAAAAAAAAAAGAAAAAAAGAAAAGAAAAAAAAAAACCAAAAAAACAAACCAAACCCCGTAGAGAGTATAGTTGGAAAAACAACCATGTGATCAGTGTAGATGAAATGAGTCACAGGCACATCAAACACCAAAAGAATTTCCTGTCTGTAGACTGCAGGCTTCTCTGCAAAGCAAATGAGCAAGACAGCACCAGTCTTTGCACAGGCCAAAACTGAACTTAAGTCAGGAATCTAGATCTTTATTTTCAACTGTGAAATCTCACCTTATATACCTGTGAAAGTAATACAGCTTATAGCCTTATTATACACCTTATTATAACATATCAACTTGTGTCTTTCACGTCATGATGTGCAAGATTTTGTTGTTAAGAAAATCTGTGTTGATAGAAAAGTTAAAACCTGTTGTGTGCATGTGTATTTAGCATCAAAAACCACAAATACAACAATTAAGCTTGTGAGAGGGTGTTCTGGTTGAGTATCACCTTCTCTGCATGCACAAGAATAAAATGTTCTGCCAAGAAGATTTACATTCTATAATCTGCATGGAGAGGTTAATTAAAGTCAAGACAATATCCTTTCTATATTCAGAAACAGACTTGTTTGCTAACTACAGGAGGGCATATATTAAAGCTCCTGTTATTATTTGTAATGCTCATCTCAAGGAACCCAGTAAGTCTCAAATATTATGGTACTTAGTTGGCAAATGACACAGATAAGAAGGAAAATATCATGGGAGAGTATAGATTAGATGCCTGACAGTCTGGTACAGATGCCACAGCCAAAAGTGTAGGGAGACTAGCATTACTCATGAGTGGTGAAGCCAGAACCAGCTATGCAGGTTTTCTCAAGTGGGTGCCCATAATGTCATTTATATCACTACATCCACCTGTCTTTCACAAATTATCCAGCCTGAACTACTCTAGACCCATTTTAAAACCTTGGGTCTTCGATTCCAGCTCCTGATAGGTAAACAGTACATAAAACATTTGTATTTGTGAAGTGCTTTTCATTTAATAATGGGAAAAGTTTCCTCAGGATGCTGACTTGGTAACTCTAATTGTCCTCATCACTTTGATACCCTGAAGGAAGCTTTCTTTTTTCCTAATGAAGCTCCAATTCAGGTTACTATCTTTGTTTCTCTTTTTATTTGAATCTATTACTTAATCATGATGTAACTGTCATGATGTAATTGTCTGGAAGTAATTGAGTGGGAATTGATCTATTTCCTGTTGCTTAAAGTATGCAAAGTATTTATACAAACAGTAAACAGCAATGAAGAAGCATAAAGACTTACTGGGTGCTGCATTATATACGGTTGAGGCTGCATCCAAGAAGGACTCTGAACCTAGAACAAAAGCAGTATTTTTCATTTTAGTCATTCTTTTTCTGAATGCTCCAACTGAGATATAGTAGTAACTTAACAAATAACGTTAACAAGACCCCTCCCTTATTTATTCACTTCTTAATGCAATCAGTCACTCTATGGAGTGCAACACTGATTTCTATGAAAACTGCATTTATTGTACCTGTACCTCAGAAGCAAGATTTGGAGACAAAATACCACAACCACCTTTCAGAACAGTACACTGTGTTTTTAGTGCAGGTCTCAAAAACTTTATCAAATACACTGAAAGGGTTCAGATAGATCCATCAGAAAATTCTGCTATGCTGAAAAAGGACCGTCTTTGAAATTCCTATGGGGAAAGTAATTGGGACCTCAGAAGGTATAGAATCGTTTGCCTTTTAATAAACTATTGGAGTTTCACAGGAGAAAAAGAAAAGAGGAATCTGCTGGACTTTTGTTCCAGGAACAAGGTGATTTAGGAGATTTATTCTCCAAAACATTGCAGTATGAACAGGAAGAGGAGAAAGTTCTCATGAGCCTTCCTGCTCTTGTTTTCTCTCCAAAACCACTGACTACCCAAATCCTTAAATTGAGGTAGCATGCCTAACTTTGGATGGAAAGGTAAATTAAAAAGATTAAAAGGTAAACTAATTGGTTTCATGGGTATCTTAGTTAAAAAAAAAAAAAAAAAAAAACCCCAAAAAAAACCCCCAAAAAAAACCCAAAACCACAGCTGGTTGCAACAGCTCTTTGAAAAAGTGTGCTCCAAGAAATATTTGAAGGTAAGAACTAGAATGTTTCCTCCCCATCTCCTGCAGGTGTGTAGGATAAAGCAGGATTCTGACCTGCACTATGCATGCAGAACTAACTCACCACTGCTGCCAGACATTTAAAGCCCCTTAAATGCCTCTACCATCATTCTCAGAGTTCTGGGACAGGACAGGTAGACAGTCTCGAAAAAAAATCTAGGTGAAGTATTTTTTGCATGAAGATAATATTTCTTCCCTCCTTTTGCTACTGACTTTCAAATCCGAGTAATATTTTTTCTTCTTCAATCAGAAAAAGAGCAAACAGGAGTTCAAAAATGGAAAACACCTGAACCCTCCCTCTCCTCAGGCAAGAGCTTAATGGCAAAAATACTGGTACAGCCTGACTAAAGCTTTGGCTGATCTACTCATACTATGATAGTACCTGCCCTACTATTGTCATTTGGGTATACAGGAGTTGCAGAAACAAACAATAGCCAAAGCTTTATTAAATTTGTTTACCTTTAATAAGAATAAATCTAGGAACAGGTTATACCATGCATCAAAGAAAAAAATAATAAATCATGCTCTTACGATGTCCTGCTCTGCAGATGACAGAATGTTGCAGGTTTCAGTGAGAAGGGTTCAGTAACGAAGATGTGACTAATACTCAAATTGTGAAACTCTTCTGGCCAAGAACCTCCTCCCTCCCCAGTACAGAATACTTCAGTTAATTCTCAATTCCTATTATTGCAGCACTTTAAGCATAATGATGTTAATAACTCCATCTACAATAATTCAAGCTCCATGCCGTGCCATCTCCTGAAATACTACTAACAACATTTCTGCAAACATACAGTGTTGTAGTCTGCCTATCTCATAAGCCCAGAAAAGTGAGACTATATTCTTAAGTATGTTTCCATGCCAACTTCCAACCTCTACTTGGATTCTGAATATCCAGAAGTCTTATATTGATAAATAATTTGTATTTTAATAAAGAATAGCAGATAATTCTACTGGAATGTTTTTCTGGGTAAGAACTTGCTGAGGTATTGCTGTACAAAGCAGAATGATTCAATATACTGAAAAATACAGTACTGGCACTGTCTGCCAAGAGCAAACATTGTGTTGCATAAGTCACCTTAGAAATTAATATAAAATTAATCCAACTGCCCTTTACCCCAGAATACACTGTTTTAATTCCTACCTAACACTTTGTTCACACAAGAAGGCGCTAGACCTCCAGACTAATTAATATTAAGACAGTTCTTCCTCTTCTCACCTGGAACAGAATGGAAATATCTGCAAGAGAATACTGACCAAATGGCCCATAGTGCCTCTGTTAGCTTTCTACATTAATTTTCACCCAGACCTAGAATACTTCGCACATCTCTCTCACTAAAAAGCAAACAGCCTCTTGTCCTTTCCCTGACATAGAGACATAAGGATTTTCTAAATTCAGTCGGTTTTGGTTATTTATGATCTGAATCACTGATGTTTACTTCGTGTGTGTTAAACCGTAAAATGCCAAAATAGCTGATTATTTAGATTATACTGGGATAACTGGCATGTCTCAAGTAGAATTACAGAGCATACATCTGAAATTGCCACACTAGCTGCATTAAACACAACTTATTTGTAAACTGAAATGTATGCTGTCCTAAAATGAGCATTCTTAAAAGACTTCTATCAAACTATTCCATATAATTTCCCAACATGTTGAACTGTTTGTCAATACTCCTAGTAGGGACTCATGATGCCATCTATCAAAATTCCTTTCCTGGAAGCTTTGGACCAATCCCCAAGAACAAAAAATGTGCACTGTTCATGTTTTAAATTATTGTTCAAAATGAAGTAACTTTTGGGTTAGAAATACTGTTCTAGGCTATTAAATGCTTTACTCCTGGTATAAAAACACTGAATTTGATTGCTAATGTAATTTGTACTCTGAACTCTTTTTCAGATTTCCTTGTCTAGTGTCTAGCAAGTTTCCACACCCTTCTTAGTACAACCACATAATACATTATTGTTGGGCTTTTTTTTGCACTGAAAAAAAAAACTGCAGAAATGTTCAAAAAGCATGGAAAAATCTCTCTGAAACAGAATTTAACTAAATCAAGGAGGTTTTAAGTAAAGAATAATTACTTTAAAGACGTATTACTGACATTAAAAGAATGTGACTCAGAAAAAATGAAAAATCATACATGAAAAGCAGAAGTGGCTACAAGTATCTTGACCATCAGCACAAGTCAGTGACTTTCTTTTGCAAAACAGCATGTATCTCATTAAATTGCTGTGCTTCCTGAAACAAATGCACTCAATAGTTTTTAAGGCCTTTTTTTCATGCTGTACAGACAGCATAAAGAACCTCCTTCATCAAAATGAAGCATTATTGGCGAATTCATGAAACCAGATGTAGCAATTGATAAATAAACAGAAGCGTCAATGAACCATTTCAGCTATTAAGTTCTAAATACAAACCTGGTATGTGGAAACTGGAGAAGCAATATATGGCGTAATAGATGTCTGAGTGATCATTCTGTTTGCTGTAATACTGTAGGGTGATGGATAAAATCTAGAAAATGAAGAAATATTAATTAAATGTCAGTTCTGTGCATCTTTCATAATGCAGACTCTTTTTTTTTTTTCCTTAAGTGTACCATTATTTAACATACCCATTTTGTAAAGCAGCTGTGGTTGGATCATATGTGAGTGTCATTCCAGCCTTCAATAAAAAAAAAGAAAAAAGTGGAAAAAAAAAAAGAGTTGATAAAATTAATTTTTATTGTAAATTATTTCTCTTACTCTTTAGTTGTATTTTTTAATTTAAAGTTTGTATTGAAATAGTTTATTACTGTAACTTAGGAAAAGGTTAATAGACAAAAGTAATTATATAGTGAAGATAGTCAGCAATATTGGCTATGAATACAAGTTTCCAAGTTCCCAGCATGAGGAACAAAATGCAATCTATGAAATACTTGGCTAAGAGAACGTGTGTATTTGAGAGGCAGGGCATGAAGATGATTATGTTAGGGTGTTGCCTACAATATATTAACTAGAAGAATGAATGGAGAGTGCTGTTTTTCAGAAGACACATTTGAATTTTTTTCTCTCATATAAATGAGGTGTCTAGGCTTGCTAACCACGGTAAGCCTAGGAAACTATTATCTTGAACATTAAAGATGAAAAGAGCTGTGACTAAAAAAAAAAAATTAATGTTGGACTGCACTGGTATACTATTTTAATCTTATGAAAGTGATGTACCTTGCAATGCTTCATAAATCAAAGGATTGTTTACTACATGTAAATAAAGTCATGTCTCAGGTAGTTTTATTTGAGAAATATCTCAGGCATATTCCTAACCAAGTTGAAGGAGATTTTATTGTTCACTTTAATGAGGTAGGATTTAGTGTTTCACATTTCACCTTTTTTCCTTTTAAGAAAGATACAGTATTTTATAAAGTTGCAAGCTGTCAGGTAAGAATTGCTTGCACATTTTTAATACACCAAAGAGCCAAGCCAAGAAGTCTCAATGCCTATCATTTTCGTAAGTATTCATTATTGTACACCCACACTAAAGCTTGAAGGGAGGACTTACAAGTCTCACCTCGCCTTCTCTGTGCCATGCTCTTCCATTCTGTATATATTTATTCTGATTCTGTCTCTTTTTCTGTCCTCCATCAGCAAACTTGCACAGTAAAGGTTCTGCAGGAACTGAGAAGAAGGAACATTAGTTGAAGCAGTTCATACACAGACATTCAGTGCTTCAAATGAGGTATGGTTTTTAAGCTATATTCCCAATATGACAGTTAAATAACACAGAGTCGTACCACAGCATCAACTGTTCTGCATAGCACAAAGATAGCTGCCACACACAAAGAGAGCATCTGGAATGCCTTATATCTTTGATTTAAAACTACTGCTTTAAAACCTGTTGGAAAAAAACATGATCTATATATCCTGAGTATGTGGCTGTTGGTCTGGGGATGAATGAGAACTACCATCTGAACTCAGAGCTTGCCTCTTAGGAGGTACATCTAAGAATAAATCTGGCCAAAGGTATTTAATATATTCCCCACCCCACCCCTTGGAGGTTTCAGTAATGTCCCAAAACTTAAATTGTTCTGCTCATCTAGAATAGCCAAATGAGCTGGCACAGTACCTCCACTTAGTCTAACCAGCAGGGTGGAGCGGGCACCTTTATCTTCTGCCACCTTGCACTGAAAAAATGCCACAACTGTCCATTCCCTTTTTACCTCTGCTCTATAAAGAGCACGCAATGCAACCAGAAATTCTTCAAGACTTTTCTTTCGCTTTTTCCATACTGTCTTGAATGGTATCACCTTTTTTTTTTTTTTTTGCATTAGATAAGCCTGACCACGACTTCAATTTACAATGTCAAAATTAAAGAAAAAGAAAACTGCACAGTATTCTCTCCCTGTTACTAGTTTAAACTGCAATAGTTTCTGAGTACCTATGGCTGAAGCACAGCTCTGCTACATCACACCACACCCTCCCTAATCACAGGGTGGAAGCGCTGTTATGACTTGGATGTGAGCGCTACTCTGCCAGTAATTCCTGATGCATGAGCTGTCTAAGCTTTACCATGACACTCCTCCAGTCATTCTCTGTTTGGAAACACCTTCATGAGACACAGCTGGATCTGAAAACATGCAAGTTGCCAAATGCAGAGTAAACACATGCAGCGGGAGGGACACACACAAAAGAAAACCCCTAAGAAAAGTTTTAGTATATCTGTATTTTGCAACCAAAAGAGCTAACGTGCTCTTCACTCTGTCTGCATTTACAAATGACTGAAAACCTCAGCGACTTATAACCTAGCAAAGAGCTTGACTTTTACGACTTTGGCACAAAACCAGCACTAATGGCCAAACCATCCCTGGCTTTGGATGGCATACCTAAAACACTAGCTCGGGTTCTACTGGGGAAAAGGCAATATATCAATAAGCCAATGGATAATTTGACATTACTTTCTAAAAGCTAGATCCCAAAACCCTTGGTCATATCAAACAGCCTTTTAAACCACATACAGTTCTGTTGAAATAAGAGGAGATAATCTCAGATGTTAGTCAATATGGGCAAAACTGTCAGGCTCTGGTCTGAAATTATTTTGACTCTTGATTTTACACAGTGAAAAAAACCCCATCTGACAGAAAGAGAGAGCTGAGATCCAATACTGAAGTTAACTCCCTTAAATGAAGTCTTCCCCAAGCTGCGTATCTCTGGCTACTTATAAATTATTTCAAACCTACCAGTATTGTGGGAAGCGTATGTGACTTCCAAAATACACACTATAAATTTCTGGATGAAGTTAAAAGAAACTGGCATGAGAATTGCTTATAAAGATGTCAGAAAATACCTAAAGGTTTCTATGCCCTATGATTCTGTATTACAGCGCTCACAGGTAGTAAATACTTCATTTAAAGTTGCATTATGCTTTCATGAAAAATCACCACAGTGAATTGTATAAAACTTTTCTTGAAAGCATTATTTCTAATCACTGTCGCAAGACAAAGATTTTTTTTATTTTTTTTTTTTTTAAGTCAGAGTAAACTTGTCCAAACAGAATAAAATGGTCATTACAATTTATTTTAAGAACGTTTTTTCTGGTGACTAGGTAACTGAAACCAGCTAAATTTTAAATGATGAAACATCTTCCATGGTCCTTTGTAGACACTCTCCTGACAAATGTAAAGAGGAAATAAAAACAGAGTAAGACTTATCCACATGTACTGGATTTTGCATATTCACTATCCAAAACCTGCAGCAGTAAGAAAAAAAATTTAAAAAGGCATTCATTTATGATTTGCCTGAAGTTAGTGTTCCATCTTATTAAGCACAGATCTGGTCATGGGAACCCCTGTTTTTCTCATCTTCTAGCTTCTCTTGGTCCTCACTGTGTCCATAAACGAAGCCAAATGTGAGAGCTTCAACTCATGTTAAAAAAAACCAATCAAACCTCACCTCAAAAAAACCCACGAAAGACCGTCTATTTAATACAGCCAACTGCTGCGAAAAGACTCTATAGAATTTGCCTTCCCTGATTCTAGTTCAAGATCTGAATGCTGATAGTAGGAACTGCTGCAACTAACTCCAGTTTGTGGCTGCTCTTTGATACCTGTGACCTGATTACTACATTGCTTCAAGAATACAATAAATGACAGTTATCAGAGGGAGGGTCATAAGAAGGAGAAAAATCTTCATGGGAGCCAAGTATGATCTGTTGATCTCCCTCCCACCAAAGAATGAACGTAGCCCTTACTCTCTTCAAAGTTGCATCTGAAATTTATTTCTTCAGCTTACCTTTCCTCCTATTTTTCAAATACGTGACATACTCTCTCTTGCACATGCAAACACGTTTGTAATTGATACATAAACAAAAAACTCCAACAAGCCCTACAGACCAGTCAAGCAATCTTTTTTGTGGTCAAGGAAGGAAGGGAGAGTCATTTTTATTGTTTAATTGTTGGGAAGTGTGCAGGCACAGTGATGAAGGGGATCATTAATCACTCAGTGACTTGTCTGTATGTGCAAGACAGAGAGGCATTGTATAAATATTCAGAGTTGCATAAAGAGCTAAGAGACTGCTGATACAAAAGGCTACAACTTACAGTGGACTGACTTCTAGCTAAGCTAAGCAGCAAAGACACCACGTTTAGAATGACAACTCTACTGACATCGAAAAGCAACTGACACTCTCGATTTGTAGATGTCTGTTGAGCTGCTGCTATGGAGGCATGAGTTTTCCTCCATTTTAACAGCAGGTCAGTGCTTTAGAACCTGCCTTTGGAAAGTGTTGACCATCTCCTCCTGTCCAGAATCACCCTCCTCTAGAGTTTTTTTACAGAAGAAAGATGTGAATGCAGTATTAGTCCAGAGAGTAAGTACTTCCTTGTTGTACACACATGCAAGTATGTAGATCAGAATTCAGTCTTTGTTCAGTGTCTACCCAAATATATACCAGGCGATCATAGAATCATAGGGTGGTTAAGGCTGGAAAGGACCTTAAGATCATCTAGTTCCAACCCCCTGCCACAGGCAGGGACAATGATACATACACGCAAGAAAAAAAAAAACGCCATTGATGTTTTTATGTTGGACTTTATGTTTACACCCTTAACTTTACCTGGCCAGTTTTATCTAATTTTCAATGAACCCTGCTTTCAGATACTAAACAAATACAGCGAAAGAGTTTTAAAATAGTATTCTTTTAATCAGTTCTCAATTGAACAGCATCTTTTAGTGACTTTCATTGCTTATTTTGTAGTGACAAAGCATACAGGTCTAATGAATTCTGATATTAAAACATTGCTTGAATGATAGAGCAAGCCTGTCCAGCTAGTAACTGTTGCCAAAAGCTGTGGAAATTGAAAAAGGTGTGCAACCCAAGATCTCAGTAGCTTTGTATGTTAAAAGAGAAACCAAATATATACTCTTTACCATTCTCATCATCACTTAAATGCAGTGCTCAGGGCCACATTTCTTCAATAATTTACACAAAGTTTAATAATCTGTCATGGGAGTATATTTTTCATGGGTTTATGTAGTATTTTCTATTCCAATGTTGCTGCTTAAAACTCAGCAGTAATTACAAACTATGTGACTTAGAGCAGTAAAAGCTTCTATCCTTGATCTAATGTGTAAAATTTTGGTTTCTCTGCCTCCAGTGTGACAATCAAGAGTAACACCAGCACTGTCGCCTCTTGATACCTTTTAGCAGTGGTTTTCAGATTGTGGTTCATGGATTATTTCTAAAGGATCTGTGAAGTGTAACTAAGAGATACAAGTTTATGGTCAAGCAGCTTAAATCCACTACATAGAGATCTACAGTGTTCTTTACTTTGTAAAGGTAAGCAAATAGAAAACGCTTACAAATGAATGCCACAAATAACTACTTCAAGGCTCCATTTTACTCCTCTCCTGCAGTAGGATCAGAATAATTTCAAACAGTAGTATCTGCCATACCTGGCAGACCTCTTCCTAGCCTATACTCAGGAGCACAGGCAGAAGCAGTGCTCTCTCACCTGCCTTCAAATATGCTCCTAAAAAAAAAAAGTATCTGAGTGACCAATATCTTTAGCATAAGCAGGAAGAGAAGGGTGGGTCACAGATAACCTATGCTTTTTGGGTCATCACCATAACCCACCATTCCTGAAGCAAAAATGGCATGAGCTGCTCATCAAAAATGCTCTCTACTTGACACCCATTAAAACAAAATTATTCAGGTTATTTCTCAGTAACAGAAGTATTAAATAACCCATAAAGCCTGTACAACAGGCACAAAAACTTTTAAATGTCTGTATTTTTCATTTTAAATACAACAGAAACAAATACACTAAGACTTACAAATACCTTAGGTATTCTACAGCACAACTGCTTTATATAATAATTATTCTCATATATCATCATGCTGCTGTGATAGGGAGGAGATGCCCTTCATGATTTTGCCCAGCAGATCATTTGTACCATTATTATGGGTCCAATGCAAGACAGAAAGACAGTGTCATCTTTAATACCATCTTTAGGTATCATCTTTAGGGGAGGGAGGCTATGAATGCTGCTCTGCCCTTACTACTCATCTTCTGCCTGCTGGTCGCTTATACTAGCCTAGTCTGTTTCCTCCAATTCGTGTCATGAGCTTCACATTTCACAGAATAGTAAAGCTTTAAATATCACATTATTCACTGAACACAATAATTCTTTAAAGAGAAAAGTAGAACTAAATGCAAGTTATTTCAAGATTATAGCAATCATGTAATAAACATACAGTTGAGAAGAGAATGAAACACAAAAAATCAAAGTCCTAAGAGAAATGGACGGAAAGCCACAGTCCATAAAACAGGACAAACTGTTACAATAAAACTTAGATAATGGAAGTACAAACCTCAACTAAACAAATGGTGAAACTAATACACCACTCCTAGGAGTTTTAGGATTATACCAACTTGCAGTGCATTTGAAATTGCTCTCTGAGCTAACCTTCCTTCTTCCTCACTGAAGACAAAGAAGGACATATGAAATATACTTCATTAAGCTAATACAGAGCAGGGAAATAAGGCCTGAATAGCTTGTTCATCTGGGTTCACCTTGCTCAGTATCATAAGTGTCTAGTCACTCTCTCAATTCTACAGTCAATGTTTTTGTGACCACCCTCTGTGCTACCTCTGGCCCTCTCAGATTCTCAGGGTTTTCTGTTCTGTCTTCTCATGCTCCAGGAGGTTTCACCTATGCTTCCCATAACTTTGTTTAACCAATTCTTCCATTTAAACCCAAACTTGATTAAAATAATAAAGCTACATTATGAAAGCATGTTTTTGTTGAACAGATGTTCTTCCTCCCACACCTATTTCATTACAGGCCAGTCTCTCCTACCCTCCTCATCCTGATAACAGTGTTTTTAAAGCCAGCTCTCTTTGCTGATCTTAGCCAAGTTTCTAGGACAGAATGTTTTAATTTAAACATAGTTCCAGTTCTAAGATTTTATTTTGCATTTATTTGAACTTGCTCCTCTACAACCCCGAAGGATGCTAATCTATTTCAAAACATTTTCCTAACCTTTGTCCAAGAGCTTTCCCTCTACAACCACTTTTCTCTCTGCAGGTAGTCCAAGACCACAGATGCCCCATGACTGCCCCACTTTGTGGCAAACTGCAGCATATTATTATGCATAAGCTGCATCCTCTAGAAGGACTGCATTATTTGACATATGCTTGTGATGTGGCGTGGAACTCCAGAAAGAATTTTAACTCCATAAAAGCCTTTCAAAGAAGCTTCAACTTCACAGCACGAGCATAGAAAAGCAGAGTTGAGGCTGTACCCTATACAACAGAATTGAGGGTCTTTAATAACCAAGGTTCTCAAAACACCCTTACGCACCTAATTATTTATCGCACTTTTCAGCATTATGGAGGTGTGACTCATCTCACTTAAGTGACTTTCAGACATTTAGAGTTACCTATTTTTGAGCAACTCATCTAGAAACTCTTTGTAACCACAAGGACAGCTGACAGCAAAGACACATCAGTCTCTGGAGGTGTGTGCTGCTTTAACTATTCTAGAAAGAGAGCCTAGATGAATACTTTGCCAAGTAAGCACTAGAAGTTGAAGTCCACGAGATGGATCGCATCTTGAGACCCTGCTTTAGTTTCCATTTTCTAACAATCACCAGTTCTGTGCTAATTGATTGTCCCTAATTAATCAGACTTTTCTGGTGAAGTTTCCTACACACTGCAGAAATCGTTCTTAGAATTCCAGGTAGTGACTTTTTATTTCTACCTGGTTGAACTTGATCACATAAGGGTGCAATTCCAACTTCAGCAACAGCGCACCAGAAAACGCATGATTAGCAATGACATGCTTGATGACTTGTTCATTGAGAACAGGATATACAACTTAAAATAAAAATGTGCAAGCTAAAAAGAACTAACACGAAGTTCTGATACAGTTTTTTTTACTGGTTCCAATTGAATAGAAACCCCTATATGTTAATTTGAATTCTTAGTTTCTCTATACTTTTTACTCTTATTTATGTCCAAAGCCATAGCAGCACTGTAAAACTGATCACTGAGGGTGGATCAGAGCACAGTCAGCATTCAGAGAAAATCATTCTATAATCTCCTTGCCCCTAAAGGGATTTTCCATCTCATAAAACACAGATTGCTAAATATATCAAATAGAAAAATAAATGTTACAGCCCCTATGTATAAAAAAGTTTTAACTAAAGAATCTCAGCAATCAATACCAATGCAAAGGGCCCGCAAAAGCCAAGACAGGGAAGTCAAAACCCTGCATTAGATTAGTGTTGGTGAAGGGAGTGGTTTCCTGTGCTCTGCAGCAGCTTTCCATCCCCACTGCAGTACAGACTGCCTCAAACTGGAGTAATCTTCCAGGGATGAGGCATGTATGTAGTTTTACTAAACAAGCCACATTCTTGTCTGCCTGCCGAGGACTGCTCTCCTCCTCCTCGGTGTCAGGGTCTGGCTGCAGAGAACATTTCACCAGCAGGATAAAGGCGGCTTCAGCAACCACATCAACAATATAATTTGTAAAATTCCCACTTGGGATTCTCAATAAAATGGTTACTGAAAGCTGCCTGGAATGTCAGGCATGTATTCTTTCCTCCTTTATTGTCCTCTTTTCTTTCTGTTTTACTCTGCTGCTCTGAATTTCCTTTCCTCATTTTTAAGTGTTTATAGAACATACATTTTGTTTCTTAGTGCTGACAAAGCAAACAAACTGATGAGGAACTTAGTGTGACAAAAAAAACCCAAAAACTGCACTGTGTAGCTTCTCTGAATTTTGCCTTGCATGGTATTTCCAGAATCATTGACCTGCCCTTCAGTCTTCCAGAGTAACCTCAAAGCCTACATTGACTTGAGAGTCACAGGTTCCCAATGAATGAAAGTGCATAGTGTCAAGGCACTGCTGCAGAATCCATGTTTTCCTAATCAAATATTTTATTGAAAATTACCTCAAAAAATCAGATGGCAAAAGTAGTCCATTTTTTTCCTCTCAAAAAAAAACCCAAACCAAAAAAAACCCCAAACAGACAAACAAAAGAAACAAACAAAAACCCCAAACAAACAAACAAAACCCCACCAAACCTGTTCGTGGACCATGAGCAGAACTCTGTTCTGATACACATACAACACACATTTGTCTCCTGACTTCAACTGGGATTATGTAGGATGTAAAGTTGTGCATAGCTGGCTTAAGGCATCTTAGCTGCTTGTCTATCTGCTACAAGAGAACACTACTGGATTCCTATAAAAGGTTTACAGAAGTGATATACTGTGTTCCAAGAAAGCAAGTATTATAGTCATCCAACAAGACACAGTTTAATTTTAATAAGCCTGCTTCTGAATGAGAAGCCAGATAAACAATCAGTGTAACAGGCTTCCACTCCACAAGCAGTAACCCATTCATACATCTTGTTAAAAATATATGCAACATACCAGAAACTCCTGCTGGTGTCTTTATGAATTTTCCATTAAAATGAGCAATCACTGCTTCACATTTTTCTGTTGACTCCATCCTAAGAAAATAAAGAATAATTTGCATAAATTAAACACTCATCCAGATTTCCATGTTTGTGACTTTTTTAAAGCACATTTCTTGCTTTTTCTCGCTTCATTTTGTGGCTTGCTTTCCCATGTGCGAGCAATAGAGAAGATGCTTTCTAACACACAACTTCAGAGAGGTAGAACTAAACTCAGTCAACATTTTATGCACTCTGAGGCCCAAGTCAGTGCCAAACTGCCAATACGATACCCTTATTACCTAGAAATTAGGCAAAACATAACTTGGACAGCTGTAGTACAAAGTAGCTATGCTGTCTTGAAGGAAGCAAAGACTGATTCACTATCATCCATAGCTAAATCCTTAAGAGCCCATTATATATACAACAAATGTTAATGCCACTTTTGCCAAGGATTCGGAAGTGTGTGTATGGTTTAGAAGTAATAAACTCAAATATAAACATGCCTGACTGCATGACCCGAACTACCTTTGCCTTTTTACCTTATAGTTATCATCCCAGCTAAATGATGTACCTGTCTCTTACTTGTGACCAAGTTACCTTCAAAACAGGAACCAATAACAGAATAGCTGTTAACTGCTACTGAGAATTCTTCCAGCATCCTGAACAGGTTTGTGCACTTACATTGTGAAAACTAGACTTAACTGGCTGGGTGGACTACTGGTGAGCTAGTGCTAATCTAGGAGTGTCTCTGTAGGCTGCAGCTACATCCTTGCACTGCAATGTAGATGTGCCAGTTCTAACTGCCAGCTTGGACTAAGGTGCAATGGATGACTGAAACTTGCAAGTGTAGCAAAATTTATTTTAAAAGAAGAATATATTTTGCAGCTGTCTGCAAGATGATGTTTGTATAATGTTGAACAGGTATTTCTTTTTGTTTGTTCATTAAGTTCTGTAATTCAGATCCACAAATTTAGGCCAATGACCTCAGCAGCAAAGCAGCAGTACTAAAAATTACCAAGTCTTGGCACCATTTTAATTCTGATAGCCCTTCTGCACAGGCTGTGGAAAAAAATATAGTCACAGACAGCAACCAAAAATCATCAAAGTGCCAGATTGATCACGAAGTTTTCCTCATGGTTTCAAAAACACTTATAGAGAATTTTCAGAAGTTTTGGATTGTTGGATCAGCATCAAAGAATTTTTTTTTGTCTTCCATGAAACAAACAATATAATTTAGTGTGGACTTGATAAAATATATTACCCCTTATTAACCTAATAAAATGCTCCCAAAGGCAAGAAATTAAAATCTTTATTTAATGACTACATGTTTCTTGGGACAATTTTAACTTGAACTAATATTTATCCAAAAATGTTCCAATACGTAGCTTGCAGAAGGGGAGAAATTCTGATTAGCTATGACAGCAACCCCTTATTCTATAACTTACATATATGTATGTGTATAAATATGTGTACAAAAATAACTTCAAATTTATGCATATATATAAAACAATGTATAATACAGAACCTATCGAGAAAATACTTACTTTAAACCTAATCACTTTTAAAGTCTTTAATACAAGTGAGGTTTTGGATACACACAAGTCCTTCGGACTTTTACACACAATTCTAAAATGCTTCTGGCTATATTAGAATAAAACCATTCCTAAAATACCACTAATTCAAGACAGAGTTAGTAAGCAAGTTTAGGGAAAAAGACTCAATGCCCCTGTATTTGATGATAGAAATCTCCAGTCTAAAGCCTCCAAATTTTGATTGCCATGCTAGGTTTATAGTAGGACTTAATGAAAGAGAGAAAAATACTAGAAAAGCACAGAAAAGGCTCTGATCAAGAGACCCCTGAACTAGAGAAAAAGTAAGCTCACATGGAAGGAATATGTGGGAGGTATCTACTAATTTATAGAAGATATTTGTTCTTGTTGATTTGGGAGAGGTATTTGATTGAGCTGGCAAATATTTTAAGGTGAGATTTACTGTAAGTGAATGAAAATATTTTCTTTCCCAGATGACAACATGTTAATGAGCCAGAAAATTCAAAGGGCTGACATTCAAAGGGCAATGGTGAGTTCATTTTCTCAGAGGAACTAATGAAGGGGAAAAAATAAAAAAAAAGATGGGGGTGGCAGAAAAGGGGTTCCTCCTTACAGTCTCCTGTCTCAAATTCAAGCCTCAAAAACCAGAAGGGTCACAGGAGAAGTCTCTGTAAAGCACTGCATAACTCTTGCTTATTGCTTCAGCGATAGAAGAGAAAGGAGAAGTACAGAGAAAAGAAGGAAGCAGTAGAGAATGAACTCTTATTAAGGATGAACTCCATTAAGAGCAATAGATGCAGATTTAGCCATCTAAGCAAAAGGAGACACAGCCATATTTGCCTTACCAAAGGAATAATTAACAAAACCTTGCTGGTATCTCCATCTAGATCACACTTTTATTTAAAAGCTTGATAATTTTCAGTAATTTTTGCCTTTTCCTCCTATTCCTGTCTTTTCAACTAAAAAAAGAAGAAAGATGCCAGCATGGCTAATGCCACTGAAGTACCTTGCAAAGCCAACACCACGGCTTGTCCCACTTGAGTCCCGCAGTATCCTTGTAGAGATAACCTGCCCAAATGGTTTCAGCATATTCTCAAGCTCCTGCTCATCCATGGAAAGTGGCAAATTGGAAATGTATAAATTAGTTGGGTCTTGTTCTTGTTGCTGAAAGAGAAATAAAGTAAACTGTTATTGCTGCTGCCACTGGAAAGACATTTTGAATTAAAAAAATGTAACAACAATTACATATAACTACTGGTACAGATTTTTACTTCTCAGGCCCCTTTCTAAAGGCTGTTCTTCCCTAGAATTAGTGACCTCCATCTTCAATCACGCTATACACCATTCCTAAGAAAACTACCCTCCTCCTATTACTGCTGACAACAAAATTTTTAAGTGTAGATAAAGGTAAATAATTGACCAGTTTATAGTCCGTATTACAACTTCATCTTTCAGATTTTTCTGAAAAGAAAAAAAAGGGCAAAACTAGGAATTAGCAGACAAAGCAATACAAGAGTGGTGAAAAGAGCTGAAAATGCCAGCTCTAAATGAAAAAGATAAAATATTGGAAACAATGCATCTAACGAGTATGTACACTGCCAAAATATTACCACAAGAATAGGCTGATACAGAAGTGAGTGGGACATTGTCATTTTCTTCCACACATGAATGTGTTTGAGTTTTTACCTAATTTTTACATTATGCATACAGACAGAAGTCTTCCAAAACCTTTCTATAGAAACAGACAAAATGACGGAACAGGGCAGCCCGGAGAAGAGCGATTAGGGAAGAGATAAATGTAGTCATGACTTTGCCATATCCCTGACCTCAGTGTATCTACATTGTGTGATCTATGCATCAACATTTTTGTTGAAAATTATCATTTCCACTGTTAGTTTACAGATTTTCCAGCTGTGGTCATGGAGCATTTCTTGCATAGTGCTAATTGCTGGCCATGCTCCATGATGAAATAGATTCTTAATCTACACAGATCTGTGGCTTGGCCCTGATAGTTGTACAAAACCTTGATGTTGTCACTGCGGCTCCCTGTATAGATTTAAGTCTCTGCAGGATGCATTATATTCAGAACTTTCTGGCATTAGGAGTGGTAAGATCTGAAACAAACACAATTTTGTTGGAATAGTCCTCAGCATATTTCCATTCTGTACAAGAGGGCTGACTTACACGGAAGTTTGAATCAAACCAGGAAACAAAAAACACCACCACAACACTTGCCTACTGGAATTAAAGCATTTATTAAAGTGATTATAGCTACAGAGGTGGTGATAAATTCTTATGCAGATTAGGCACCAATTTGTTCTTAAGCTGCCCTTATATTAGCAATATCTCAGTACTATTGGTAGCATATTGCATAATTTAATAACTTGCTATCCTGGATATCACCTCTCAGCTAGGGTTGGTTTTCCCTGGGGAAAAAAAACCCAAAGGAGTCGGGGCTAGGGGGAGAGGGAGAGATTGCACCTTTTAGGCATAGAAATGAACTACCCTGTTCCAAAAACTAACGAAACTTAAAAATGGGGAAGCAAATTCTATGCTTATGGACCTTCACTATTTGCACTTTTACCCCAAGATTTAGCTAGAAAGGGCTCATGTTCTGAAGTTTTCTGTAAAGGTTTTTTTATGTAATTTCAGCATCAAAGGACCTATAAAAAGGAAACGAGCTCCCATTACATCCTCCTGATCTGCATTCTATGTCTAGGCACACTGAAATCCCACATAACTTACAAAATACGAATTTTTCCAAGTGCCAAGTGATGTCCTCGTCAGTCCCCCTACAGTCCATCACAAATGGCACTTGACTACCATGTATGTTTTTCCTTTTGGTATCTACTGGAAATATTCCGCCATCCCAAAATAATACTGAACCTATATAGTATGCATAGAGGTTTGTGATTTAGATTACCTTACAGTATCTGACTTCCTTTTCAAATTAGCAAAATCAGCAGAAAGACAAGAAAATGGATTCACTGTGAGGCCACAGCTGACATTAATACTTATTACTGGGGAGTGTTCAACCATGAAGGAAAATCCATGTTACATACAATTCAAATTTTCTCAGGTAGGAATCTGAAACGAAGACAGCTTTCACATTTTTGGAATTAGTTTGTTGCTTAGGCTGTAGTAGCCAATTTTGTTTTACAACTTGAGATGTGCAGGCTTACTTCCTTCTTCAATAAGCACTATTAGCAAAAGCTTTATAAGGAGGTTTCAGACATGGGCATTATAAAAATGCATTTGTAACGATAGCATAATTTTCTGAAACTCTAAATAGTATTTGAAAGGGAAAAAAATTTCTTTTAGTTTTTATTATAAGCTGCTGCATTGCTCACAGATATCTTAAAACTTCTCTAAATAACCTAAACCAGTATACAAGCTGGGAAATCAGACCCCTTGTATATTTTAATCTAATTTGCTCATGTTTTTATTCTATAATAACAAAAGGTCTGAATTACATTACAAAGATGTTCTCATTAAAAAGCCTAACATTGGGAAAGATAAAAAAAAAAAAGGCCCCATTTTATTCACACTAATAAAAATGTAATTTACATGCAAGAAATAAATGCTTACATTCAGAAACAGCTAATAGGGAATGAAATTGTCTACTGCAGAATGTCAGAGCAATCTGTTTTATGTAGGTAACTGGGCAGATCACACTGCCCTTCTCTTGGGCTCCTATTCTAGCCCAGGGGGTTACCACACTTTTGCATTATGCAGGCATTGTATTCAGGATGAAAGATCATGAGCATTCCATGCCAAAAGGGACAGAATGACCTACTACAATTCTTGGCAAAACGTGAAGATCTTCCTCCATACATGCTGGGAAGCTTCATGCTTGTACCTACATACCTAACAAAGAAAACTTCATGACATAAAAATCAAGTAACAGCATTGTGTGAGAAGGGAATACTCTACTTTGAAAGATCATTTTCAACTTTACCACTAAACTACACTGCAAATCCCTTAGGAACAGGGGGTAAAAATAAAGTGCATCTGAGGAAATTTTTCTAAGGAAATTACTTTCTCTGAACAGAAAGTATTTTGTGATGGAAAAATTTGACTTGTGGCCCATTAAACAATCCATCTTTTGCACTAGTAACTACTGGGTTTTGGTCAGGTGCATGGATGAGTGAGTGATTGGAAAGGACTTACTTTGCTTTCCTGACCCTTTCTCTATGTAGCCTATTACAGCCTGAATTCTACCAGGGATTCAGTTATTTCTGCTTTTGATCCTTCAACAGGTCATACTGACCACAGTGGAAAAAGAAAAGCTTTAAAATACTTTTACGTATGTCCATAGCTAGAACTGGTAAGATGGCAGACATGGGAGAAGAGGAGCAAAAAAGCAGCCAGTGGATAAGGATGTCACACTGAAATACTGGAATATGAGTTGAAATTTCATTCATCTGTAATTCTCCCAGAACAAAGTAGTTGAAATGCCAGCGAACGCATGCCAGTGTAACAGGGCTGTACCTGCAGCGCAGGAGCAAACCCACAGCCATCCTGGGGAGCAGCAGTTCAGCTATAAGGACAAATCATAGAGTCATATTATATCTCAAGTTGGAAGGGACCCACAAGGATCATCGACACCAATTAGGTCAGGATAGATTAAATTAACCCACAATCCATTCTTCACTTTGCAGGGGAAAAAAACAAACAAATGAAACAAAACAAAAAACCCTTGCCACTGGTTCTCTAAAGAGGTCATTTACAACACTAAAATAGTACTGTTGGGTAGATCTAAAGCAAGCCTGAACTCTTACTCAAGTGCATTTGACATTTTACATAGTTTGGCAGTAGAAAAATTATACCTATTAATGTGCAAAACACCTCCTCTCCTCTTTTTAATTACTTACGTCATCATGCAGCTTCTGTCATCACCACAAGACTACTAAACCTCAAAAGGCTGTCTGGGTACATTTTGGGAGATCATAAGCAGCAACTAACTTCCTTTCCCTTAGAATATGCTAGATTTCCAGCTGAATTCCAAATGGCAACCACAACTAAGACTCTCCATGCATCTTTATCCTGTTTTACACAAAAGGCACCATACAAACAGATGTTTGCTTTTATACAAGGCTTTGGCATGGAAACTGGTTAAACAGTTAAAAATTCAGGAAGTTAGGAGAGAGACAAACTCTCTAACTTGTCCCTCCATCTCTCTGGCAAACAGCAGTTTAATACATTAAGTACTGTGACTTCCTTCCTTACTGAAACTTGCCTCACCATAGTTTAATTCACATAGTTATTACAGTTCTGTTTCAGAAGAGAAAATAATTCCTTTGATATTTAAGTTTCTAATTTTTAGTCTGGAATTCAACGAAAAATGAAACTGGCAAAAATACCTACAAACGTAACTCAACTCAAACCTTACCTTACCTATACACTGTAATTGTTTTAAGTGCTTTCAAAGGTAAGGCTTTTTCCCTGGGCTTCAAATTAATGAAATCATAGAAAATGCTTTCATCTTACAAATCTTTTATCTCTTGAAAATACTTGTACCATTTTAAAGGAATGATCAAAAATAATTACTGAAGTCAGTGGAAAGCTTTCTACATCAGGGTAGCAAGCTAACATTAAAATAAAGACCACAGAACCATTGAGGGTTTGGTGGTTATTTATTTTTAATTCTATATTATTTAGGAAAATTGTGTATTTTGAGAGTCTTCTTATGTCATACAGGGTCTCTCCAGTTAATAGAACCTTCAGCAGGTCCTGGAAGACGCTGAATGTGCTCAATATTTGCAGAATATGGGCAATGTCAGGGAATTTGTGGGCTACTATAAGCATCCATATTAGTGAGGAAACTAGGAAGGTCTTGGTTTTAGCAATTCACATCAAGTTTCCATCACCTTTAGCTGTGTCTCCAGAGTTTCTCGAGCAGAACATAATAATATGAAGATGCAGAACAGTGTTCTTGCAGGTTAATGCACTTCTTATTCCTAAAAAGCACTTACAACAGTAACATGGACTACAAGACACAGTATTTCTCATAAAAGGGATAGGAATAATCAAGTGCTAATATTCATTTCTGTAGAAAGAGCTGATCAGGAGTCTTACATAATGCAAAATGCTCTACCATCATCTGAAAGAAATTAACAAAAACCTCCCTGTGCGTGTGGAACTGTTCCTAAACTGCAAGCAAG